GCAGTATTTTAAAGTAGTGGGAAAAATCATATTTAGAAATGGTGCTGAGACAATTGGCTAGCCGTGTAGGGTGGGGAAAAGGCAAGATCCCTACCTCATTTCTCATGCAAAAGTAAATTCCAGATGGAGAGCACATTAATAAGAAAAAAGCCCGTAACTGCACTAAATTAAAATACAGATGGGTCAGGTGCAGTGGCTCACACCTGTAATCCCAGCATGTTGGGAAGCCTAGGCTGGTGGATCACCTGAGGTCAGGAGTCCGAGACCAGCCTGGCCAACATGGCGAAACCCCATTTCTACCTAAAATAGAAAAATTAGCCAGGCGAAGTGGCACATGCCTGTAATCCCAGCTACTTGGGAGGCTGAGGAAAGAGAACGGCTTGAACTTGGGAGGTGGAGTTGGCAGTGAGCCGAGATTACGCCACTGTACTCCAGCCTATGAAATGAGAGTGAGACTCCATCTCAAACACACACACACACACACACACACACACGAATATTCTTATCATCTTGGAGTGGGGGGAGGCTGTCTCAGCATGTCAAAAAGATTGTAAATTTTTATGAAAAAGACTCATCTATTTCACTACATAAAATGATTTAGGCTAGTCATAGTGGCTTACACCTATAATCCTAGCACTTTGGGAGACTGAGTGCCCATTTACCACTGAGATGGGTAAATGACTTGAGCCTAGGAGTTTGCAACCAGCCTAGGTAACGTGGTGAAACCCTGTCTCTGCTAAAAATACAAAAAGTTAGCTGGGTGTGGTAGCATGCACCTGTAATCCCAGCTACTGAGGAGGCTGAGGTGAGAGGATCGCTTGAGCCCAGGAAGTCGAGGCTGCACTGAGCCATGATTGTGCCACTGCACCCCATCCTGGGTGACAGTGAGACCTTGTCTCAAAAATAATAAAAATAATAATAATTTAAGTTTTCTATACAATATGAAAACACTGTAAACATGGTTGAAAGGTAAGTAGGGAAGAGTATAGACTGAAACATAATATAATTTGTATAGAAAATATTTTCATGGACCAGGGGTGGTGGCTCATGCCTATAATTCCAGCACTTTGGGAGGCCAAGGCAGGTGGATCATTTGAGGCCAGGAGTTCTAGACCAGCCCGGCCTAAATAGTGAAACCCTGTCTCTACTAAAAATACAAAAATTAGCCAGGCATGGTAGTACATGCCTGTAATTTCAGCTACTCAGGTGGCTGAGGCACAAGAATTGCTTGAACCCGAGAGGCAGAGGTTGCAGTGAGCTGAGATCATGCTACTGCACTCCGGCCTGGGTGATGGAGTGAGACTCGGTCTAAAAAAAAAAGAAAACCCCCCAAAACAAACAAAGATACTTTTATGAGACAACATTTATAAAAGAATACACCAAAAAGAGAAATGGGCAAATGGTATGTGCAGGTAAATCACAACAGTAAAAATACAAATTGGTAATTAAAAGGTATTCCTAGTTGTCTTCTTGTTTGTAAACAGCAGACACTGACAGTGGTTTCTTTCACCAATAAAGGAATTTACAGGAGACCTATCAGGTTAGCTCACAGAAAGAACAGAGCTAGAGAAACAGGCTTGGGTAGAAACCCAGGGAAGCAGATACCAGTAAGAACTTGCTACTAGAGTAGCAGCTGGACACTTGCTGCTACCACCCCAACACTGTACACCACTGTACTGCCACACTGCTAAAAATATAGCTGCTAGATTCATTAATTCACTGCATTATCTCCAATGAGCCTTGTATCAATACTTCTAGAGCCAAAGTCTAGATAGGAACATCTAGTTGGTCTTGCTCTGTCACCCAGGCTGGAGGGCAGTGGCACAATCATAGCTCACTGCAGCCTCAACCTCCTGGGTTCGAGTAATCTGCCTGCTTCAGCCTCCTGAGTAGCTGAGACTACAGAAGCACACCACCACACCAGGCTTAAATTTCCTTTCTCTTTTCTTTTCTTTCTTTTTTATTTTTTCAAGAGACTGGATCTTGCGATGTTGCCCAGCCTGGTCTCAAACTCTTGGGGCTCAAGTGATCTCTGTCTGCACATGCTGAGATTACAAATATGAGCCCCTGTACCAGGCTGGTGGCCTTTTCTAGGTCATCTTCCTGAGCTCTAGCTTCCAAGGGTGGGGAGGGGAATACCTACTCCCCAGCAGTTTTCATAATGGGAACTTGAGCTGTCCTGCCTAATTTGGTATCCCCTGCAGACATGAAGTTGGTTTAGATGTTGGATAGCAGGGACACCGGCACATGATGTTCAGCCTCACACATACAAATAAAAAGCACATTAATATGCCATCTTTTGTTCATCAAAATTATCAATGTGAAAAAGACTGGAAAACTCAATGGTATTTTGGGGTTGGGAAATGTGTGTTTCCCATTCATTGCTGGCAGGAGAAAACCTTTCTGGTGGTCAGCTTGATAATAGGTGTCAAATATGAAATACTCATACCCTTTGACCCAAGGTTTCAGCCTAAGGAGATAGCTGCAGAATGGACAAGGTATAGGTCATGATAATATTCACTGCACTGTTGTTTCTAATTTATGTTTCCCGAGCTTGGGGGTAAGGGGCAGGTACAGAGAGGGCTAATGAAAGATTCATTACAGAATGTTCAAGGTGAGTCTTTAAGAATGATCACCTGAATATTCCAACTAGGAATTCTCCCAAGCCTGTTCTAGCCAAGCTTTCAGCCTCGGTGGGACCAATATGCTTAGAATAGTGGGAGGGGCCCAGACTGGGAAGGGGGTTCTTAGGTAGCCTACCAAGAAGTTCAGATATTGTTTAGAGGCCAGGCAGTGCCTCACACCTATAATCCCAGCACTTTGGAATACTGAGGTGGGTGGATCACTTGAGGTAAGGAGCTCAAGACCAGCCTGGACAACATACAAAATACTAAAAATACAAAAATTAGCCAGGCATGGTGGTGGGTTCCTGTAATCCCAGATACTCAAGAGGCTGAGGCAGGAGAATTGCTTGAACCCAGGAGATGGAGGCTGCAGTGAGCTGAGATTGCACCACTGCACTCTAGCCTGGGTGATAGAGTGAGACTCCATCACACACGCAGACACACACACACACACACACACACACACACACACACACACACATTGTTTAGATATAAAGTTGGCAAGTAATCCAACTGTTATATGATGGCTACCTTACTGGGTACCTAATAATGAGTAAGATGGGTCTCTGCTGGGTTGAAGTCCACATTTTAGTGAAGGTGACAACTGCAAACTGAATTGCAATATGGTCAAGTCAGTGTCATGAATAAGAGGTGCCAAGAGAGCTTGTGGAAGGGACGCCATCTGGAGGGGTGATATCTGAGGTGAGACTTTAAAGATGAAAGGAAGTTAGCTAAATAGAAAGGTTCTAGGAAAGGTTCAAGGGAGAGGGAACAGCTCTGGCAAAGGCCCTTGAGTCTGAATCAAACTGCCCAAAAGTTGAGGGCCATTGCATTCACATTTTAGTATGAATAATCAGATGGCTTTTTCCCTGGTGTCCAGATAAGCTCAAGGTGCAGTGAGGAATAGATATTTTGACTAAGAGGAGAGTGGAGGCGATTAGAGTTGGTACTCTGCACCCTGGGGATGTTATCATAGAGCCTTACAATGGGGAGGGAGGTCAGAGGTAAAAACCATTTACTTTGAAACGTGGTGTAAGGTGGCCTTCATGTTTTAAAAAGGGGGAAGGGCTCTCCCTTCCCAGATTTCTCCCTTCTGCTTCAGGACTCAGACTGGCTCTTAGCAGAGGGGAGCCTACAGAGAGGAGGTCATATACTAGTGGGTTTTGGACTAAAGGCAGCCCAAAGATGTACTAGTTTTTTGCTCCCTGTACTACTTTTCTTTCTTGCTTGCTTTATTTTTTTTTTTTTTTTTTTTTTTTATAATGGAACCAACATTTAAAAATAGGATTTCTGCCTTCTCTTAAAACATCAGATGATCTGGTAACAGGGAACAACTGGCTGGAGCTGAGTGGCAGCCACCTCTTTAGAAAGATGTTAATTTGAATTTTGCTATAATCCCCATCATTCCGTATATATTGCCCTCAACACTGAGAGCCAAGTCACTTGAAAGTCAGTATGATGATGCAAACACCAGGATTCTACATTCATTTGTGGTTTGTGACCTGTGACATTTGTGGATTCGTGACCCTTAGTTTAGAGGTCAGGTATAGGGTTTGTGAATAAAACTTGGGTTTGAATCAGATAAGAACTGTACCAATCTCAAAGACGGTGAATTAAAGATTAAAGAAAATATTGCATGCTTGGCATAATGTGTGGAACACAGCAGCTATTATTAACTCCACTAGGAATGTAAGCTGCAAGAGGGCAGGTAGAAACAGTATTAGTTTAATCCGCTGGGGATATGACATTTAATTCCAATGTAATAGATTTAATTCTTTGTAATATCCCCAGTAACTGGTGAATGAATAAATGAGTAAATGAATGAATGGATGAATGGCGGGAGAGCCTAGCGGGGTTTTAAAGGCTGGAATGGAAAAGAAGGTAGTTATAACATCGTTTCGCTAGGACCTCAGGGTGCAGCCTGGAAGAAAAGCCCGCTGGGACGTACCAGACTCTGCGCTCCGTCGGCACACAGACGGTAAGTATCTGCAATGTCTCCTCGGAGCCAGGCGGGGCTGACTTGCCCAGAACCTGTCAGGGCTATGTCCACCAGCTCTTGCACGGTCTGGTAACTGACAGCATCCTGATTCCTGCATGATCCCGCCTCTGCCGTCTGATCAGCAAAGACGGAGACCCACGCCTGGGATCCACCACCCAGAGCGAGCCCAGCCTTTTCCTCCAAGCCTGGACCGCGCCCACACTAGACATGGCCTCCCTCGGGCTTCACGCAGCAGGACCGCGCCCGCAGCCTCCAGACTTCGCGTCCGGCTGGAGAGGCAGCTACCTTCCCACAGTGAACATGGCGGCTGAGGCGACTTCAGCGAGGGGCGGGCGGTGCCAGGAGGCGCGTCACGTGAGCAGCCCAGCTGGGCGGATCGCGCGCGCGCCCGCTCGCCCCGCCGGCCGCCGCTCGCTCGCTGGCTCTGCCGCGCTCTGTGTGTGGGGTTTAGATCCGCCCGACCCGGTGAGGCGCGGCGCGGCGGGATGCGGCGGCGGCCGTGGCGGGGCCGCGGGCCGGGCTGGCGGGCGCGGTGATGAGTGTCTGCGGCCGCCGCCATGTCCAAGGTAACGGCGCCCGGGCCCGGGCCGCCGGCGGCGGCAGGCGGGAAGGAGAAGCGCTCCTTCAGCAAGCGGCTGTTCCGGAGCGGCCGCGCTGGGGGCGGCAGCGCCGGGGGCCCTGGGGCGCCCGGGCCGGCCGCGCCCTCTTCGCCTTCCTCGGCGCGCTCAGTGGGCAGCTTCATGAGCCGCGTCCTCAAGACGCTGTCCACGCTCTCGCACCTTAGCTCCGAGGGCGCCGCCCCGGACCGCGGCGGCCTCCGCAGCTGCTTCCCGCCTGGGCCAGCCGCCGCGCCCACGCCGCCGCCGTGCCCGCCGCCGCCCGCCTCTCCTGCGCCGCCCGCCTGCGCCGCCGAGCCGGTGCCCGGCGTGGCGGGGCTCCGCAACCACGGCAACACGTGCTTCATGAACGCCACGCTGCAGTGCCTCAGCAACACCGAGCTCTTCGCCGAGTACCTGGCGCTGGGCCAGTACCGGACAGGGCGGCCCGAGCCCTCGCCTGACCCCGAGCAGCCTGCGGGCCGCGGCGCGCAGGGCCAGGGCGAGGTCACCGAGCAACTGGCGCACCTGGTGCGGGCCCTCTGGACCCTGGAGTACACCCCGCAGCATAGCCGGGACTTCAAGGTGAGCCGGCGCCCCGCCGCGCCCGGAGTCCCTGGGGCACCAGCCTGCCCAGGTCTTCCTTACCTCGGTTTGCCTTGGCTAGGCAGGCTTCTGCATTGGTTGCTCAGAAGATATGCTGTTATCTACTGTAAGAAGATAGATTCATTCATTCATTCAACATGTATTGCGAGCTTACTACATACGCGGCCGTACCCTGTGATAATAGGCAATGGGAGTGGTGTTGCAATGAACAAGACTATCTGCCTTCATGGAACTTGGAATTTTTGTGGGGTGAGAGTGTTGAGCCTGGTTTCAAATCCTGGTTCTGCCACTTATTAGCAGTGTGACCTCGGGCAGGTTAAGCTGCCTCTCTGTGGTTACCGTTTCTTCACCTGGGACCTGTTTCGTAAGGTGGTTGTGAGCTGCAAACAAGTTGATATATTAGGTCGAATACTGTGAAGTGTCCCATATTTCACGGTTTTTGGTTTACAGATTGGCACTTTTGTAGGGTTTAAACTGATAAGTAAATACTTCAATATCATGTGTATTTGCTGTTATGCTGTTATTTTTGTATTAAACATTTCAAGAAGTTAACGGGATAGTATCAGATAGTGGTTTGAAGAAAGAAAAACCTGCTGTTGTGATTGATGTGTGGACAGGCTACTTTTTATTTTTATTTTATTTTTAGAGACAGGGTCTTGCTCTGTTGCCGACTCTGGAGTGCAATGGTGTGATCATTTGCAACCTCAAACTCCTGGGCTCAAGCGATCCTTCCGCCTCAGCCTCCTGAGTATTTAATAGCTGGGACTACAGAAACATCGCCACACCTGGCTGTTTTTTGTTTTTAAAAAACTTTTGTAGAGACGGGGGTTTTGCTGTGTTGCCCAGGCTGGTCTTGAACTCTTGGCCTCAAGCCACCCTCCCCGCCTTGGCCTCCCAGAGGGCTGGGATTACAGGGATGACCCATACTTCCTGGGGGATATGTATGGCTCTTGGCCAAGCCCTCATTTGTTGTCTGCTGGTGGGGCTGCAAGTGTAGTGAGAGGGTGAGATTTGAGATCCGAGTGGTGGGCTGGGGCTGGATGGTATGGGACCGTTTAGGATGTACTAAGAAATTGGGCCCTTACTCTAAGCGGAAGGGGAAAATGATATGAGATTGTGTAAGGGATACTTTTAGGTGGGACATGGATATGGTATTAAACAGCATGGAATCACACAGGGAGAAAGTTAATTCCTTTTCTTTTTCCTATTCTTATGCCCAGGAGAAAGTCTCAGCTTGATGTTAGCCTGTTTTTAACATCTCTTGTTCACCCTCCACCCCTTTTGTTTTTTAAACAAAGAGAGAACAGGTTTCAAGTCTAGAGGCCTTGGCAGGCACACACAGTAGCTAGAATTGAATAAGGTTATGTTTTTATTGGGTTTCCATTTGTCTTCAATTCATGGCAAAAAGCTACTGGCTTCTCATTAGTGCTATAAAGCTTCTTTATAACATACATTTATTTATGTAAAAGGAGATGATTTTGTTAAAATATAAAAAGGTGACCTAGCTGAGGATCTGCACTTGGTTAAGGTCCTGCTTTCTTGCTGACAAACTACATGGCCAGTGTGCATCTCTCCCCGTTTAATACTTTTTACTTTATGCTACTCAGTGCTGTTTTTCTTGGAAAAAAAATTGTTGCTGTTTGATCTTGGCAATTTGAATGGAAATATTTGACTGAGATAGGGACTGGGAAAAAATGAGATCTATTTCAGAGGTCTCAAAATTATTATTTTTGAGATGGAGTCTTGCTCTGTTGCCCAGGCTGGAGGGCAGTGGCCTAATCTCAGCTCACTGCAACCTCTGCTTCCCAGGTTCAAGCTATTCTCCTCTCTCAGCCTCCTGAGTAGCTGGGACTACAGGTGCCCACCACCACGCCCAGCTAATTTTTGTATTTTAGTAGAGACGGGGTTTCACCATATTGGTCAGGCTGTTCTTGAACTCCTGACTTAAGGTGATCCACCTGCCTCAGCCTCCCAAAGTGCTGGGATTACAGGCAGGAGCCACCGTGCCCAGCTGAAATTAGAAAGTAGAGGAGAATGGTAAGGGGAACTAGCTACTGTGGGCTCCCCGCCCCCCATCCTGCCCCTCTGTAAACTTTTCAAGGTCAGAGCCTAGCATTTAAGTTTGGTTTTCTCCTCTTTTCCAAAATGTTAGAAAATCAGTTTCTAACAGCATCTTTGTATGTGAACATTTCCATTGCTTTTTATGAGTTTGTGTTCACTTTTTTATCCATTAAGCTGTGAGCAGAAATGGGTCAATAGTTCTAGAAGTACAGAGACTGATTTATAGGCTTGCTTTGGCAGACATGAACAGATTCTTAGAGGCCTGGCTTTTTAAAAAATGTGATCTCCTGAACCTTAAGTAGGTTTCACTCTGCATTCATTCATTCACTTCCCATTTATTGAAGGCTTACTAAGTTAGGAATGCCTTCAGCACAAGAAAGAAAAATTCCGAATGATAGTGCCTTAAGGAGTAAAAACGTTTCAATTGGCAATTCGCACACACAGTGATTCTGGAGGTGGATGGTTCTTTGGTTCGATGGGCCCAACAAGGATACAGATTTCTGTATTTCCATCCTGTTGTCTTTTTAGCTATCATTGGCTTTTTGTTCTTACGTTTGTCACCTCATGGTTGTCCAGTGATGGCAGCCACAGCACCCGGCATTCTACCCAGGAAGGCAGGAAGTCATCAGGGAAATAAAAATTCTTCCAGAAGCTCCCTCAGCAGGCTTCTGCTGACATCTCATTGACTATAACCCTGTCAGTTGCCTGTCATAGAGGATGGAGGGTGGATATATGGGTTTTCCTGTCTTCATAGAGGAGATAAGTAAAGAAGGGGTTTACCTCCCAGGCAGCTTTGAAGAGAGCTGAGTCTAGTGGGATCTGGGAAGTTCCCTGAGACAGCGCTTCTCACGCCTCAGTGTGCACATAATTCACTTGGGGATTTTGCTACAAAGCAAATTGAGATTCAGTAGAGCTGGAGTGGTAACCGAGATTCTGCATTTCTAACAAGTTCTCTGGCGATGCGGGTGCTTTTGGCCCAAGGACCATCCTGTGAATAGCAGGCACCAAGGAAGGAAGAAAGCGTCACAGAAAAGGTGGCTCCTGAACAGTGTTCTGAAAGATGAATAAAAATTTGCGGGGCAAGGAAGAGGTGGAATGGCATGAAAGAGCGTGTGGTTTTGGGGAATAGACATTTAGTGGCTGGCTGCGCCATAGAGAGCAGTGGGGGTGCAGGAAGCCTGGGAGAAGCGTATTGGAAATACACTGTGAAGCATTTTGTGAGCTGTGCTGGTTTGGATTCATTCTCCTGAAGTTGAGAATCCAGAGTTGATTTTTCAGCAAGGAAGTGGTATAATTCGAATTTTTCCCCTTTTTAATTCTCCCTGTTAGGTAACTGTGGAGGATTGATTAGTTTTTAAGAAATGTTTCATTGTAGCCAAATTTGACGGGTATTATTTGAGTATAAAGAAAGTTGAACACCAAGGCAGGACACAGTGGCTCATGCCTGTGATCCCAGCACTTTGGGAGGCCAAGGTGGGTAGATCACTTGAGGCCAAGAATTTGAGACCAGCCTGGACAACATGGTGAAACCCCCTCTCTACTAAAAAAATTAAAAAATTAGCTGAATGTGGTGGCACACACCTGTAGTCCCAGCTACTCCAGAGGCTGAGGCACGAGAATCGCCTGAACCCAGGAGGTAGAGGTTGCAGTGAGTCAAGATCATGCCACTGCATTCCAGCCTGGGCGACAGAGCAAGACTGCCAAAAAAAAAAAAAAAAAAAAAAGAAAAAAAGAAAAATTAAAAGAAAGAAAGTTAGACACCAGAAGTTGGACATGAGGCATACCTCACTGCTCACTGTGCTTCGCTTGCTTGGAGCAGACATTGTTATTTCACTCTGATATTCTTCACTTTCAGATCGCTCACATTCAGCCTTAAAATCCAGCTCAGTTCTGGGCTCCAGGCAGCCACCACCAGTTGGTTGAAGTTGGCAGAGGAGTTGAGATGGTTTGTCTTGAGGTTAGAAAGCACTTACTAGGTCTTTGAATGTGCTTTTGTTATCTTAAAACTTAAAGTTACTAACGATTTTCTTTGTAAGTTTTTCAATTAGAATTCTTTCTTCCTTTCTAATCACATTGATTTGAATTTTAGAAGCTTGCCAATAGACAGTTCTTGGTTTTGGATGGGCTAGATGGTTGTTAAAGTTGGGTTTTCATTTCCCAGGATGAAATGAGTTGACTAGCTCAACCTTGATAGGCTTTAAAAAACATCTCTAGCCACTACCTTTGTCCTTTCTCTTTTTACACAGATTTTTTTTTTTTCCTACTCTTAGAGCACTGGTTTTCAGCATGGGCACTTTTGCCTGTCCTCACCCCACCCTGCTCCCACTCCCTGGGACGTTTGTCAATGTCTGAAGCCATACTTGGTTGTCACAACTGGGATCAGGGTGCTACTGGCATGTGGTGGGTAGATTCCAGGGATGCTGCTAAATGTCACACAGTGTGCAGGACAGCCCCTCTTAATAAAGGATTTTTCAGCCCAAAGTGTCAATAGTGCTGAGGTGAGAAACTATTGGAGGAATGTTTGGAGACTCAGCATAAGTTTCCTTTGCTTCCCCAGCCTTTAAAATGATTACCTTGCTTACCCCCACCTTTGTCTTCCATTGATCATGAGTGTGTGTGTGTATGTGTTTGCAGCAGTGCTAGGGTAAAACTTAGACTTCATTGGCAGGACCCTTGTATCACTTTCTTGGTAAAATAGTGGGAGTAGATAAATCACTTTGAGTATATAGTATGCTGTTTTAAAGAGAAATCAGCTTATTGCTTTCATGGGTGCCCCAGATTCTTACAAATGCTTTCTGAGTTTTAGTACCCAGAGCCCTTTTGCAATAAATAAAAAGATGGATGGTCATCTTTCAAGCAAGAAAGATAAATTTTATGGCAGCCGTTTTTAAACTGTGCTGGCGAAGAACAGCTAGAAC